GTGTGTGGCAATTGAATATTTTCAAACCAATTTACCTCTCTCTCAGAAAATATGTATGGAGTGTAGCATAACTAATGTAAGAACTATTAATTTTCTTGGACGCGAGCTATCCAAACTCTCCCTTTTGCAAAATAGCAAGTAGAAATATAATTTCTAATACTTTAATGCCTACAATACCATATTTGCAAATATTTTAATGCTCATTGCTCAGTGCAGTGGTAACCAAGTGAAATTTTAGTATTTATTTAAAATAATTTATTCCTTTGTTGGAAAAAAATTGTATTGTTCCTGTTCTTCCTGTTCTATAGTTAGCAAAAGAAAATGTTCTAATATTTACATCTAGTAAAGCCATAAAGTTGTTTTCCTTTTAAACTCAAATATGCCATTTTACAATAGATGCAAAAGCTCTGAAATCATAAAAAAAATAAGTTTTTATAAACATATAGTCTCTAGATAACTAGCAGATAATTTAGCCCTAAAAATAAAAATTGCCAACACTGTGAGTTTAGTGGCTATATAAATTTAATAATAAATAAAAAGAACTTACACATTATAAATGTGTTTTTCTACATATTATAAAAGATACTTTGCTTCCCTTCCAAGCTATGAATGCTGTTACTGCAAAAATTAAAACCAAAACCAAAAAGCAATTTATGCTACAGTGTATGTCAATTTCATACTCATCAGTAACTATTTTTTAAAAAGTTTCTTTAACATCTAGTTCTGCAATCATAGTACTCAGCAATAGACTATTTTACCAGGTAATCATTACGGCTCAAATAAATGAAAACTCAAGAGTAACAGTATATAAAACAAGACATAACTGCTTGTACATACAGTTGTGCTCATAAGTTTACATACCCTGGCAGAATTTATGATTTCTTGGCCCTTTTTCAGAGAATATGAATGATAACACAAAAACTTTTCTTTCACTCATGGTTGGTGTATGGCTGAAGCCATTTATTATCAATCAACTGTATTTACACTTTTTAAATCATAATGACAACAGAATACTTTACTCACACAATTCTGGGTGTAATTAAAAATTACTAGATAGTTTTATGAAAAAAATGTTTTTTTAAGATAGGAAACCAAACATAAAATCATCATTAATATCACTTTCATTTATAACAGTTTACAAGTCTGTCAAGGGTGCTGGGATCTTCATTTTTTTTTATCAACGCTCTATGATGGAATGTTCAAATGTTTTTCTGGCTGCTACCATATCCTGTTTTCCTCCTTTACATCTGCTGGGTGCCTTCGCATGGGAAAGATACCCATCTTTTCTTAATGAATATTATTTTCCCAAACCTCATTTTGCTTTTGAAATATAAACAGAGTACTCTTCAGGGAAAAGAGGGTAAGATTCAGAGTAAGTCGATCACTTTTAGTCCCAGTGATATCAGTAAGAAGCTAGTAATGAATCACTTAAATACAGCTGATATCAGAGCCTACAATGCTGTTAAATTAATCTACACCCAGATAATTGATTTTTAAATTGATATCCTTAACTCTTTTGTGGTCCATTATGCTCAATTGTAGACTGAAGAAAGGGAAATATTGCAATGGATGTGTTAAGCAAAGGCAAAACTCTGTGATCCTCCAGATGTTCTAAATTGTTAACTCCTAGCAGCTGAACTGGGGAAGGATGCTAGGAATTGTGGTTTAGCAACTTCTGTAATGACAAAAATTCCCAGCCTCTATTTAAAGGATAGTATGGGAATCCAGATGGTATTTCCTTAATGTTGAAGGTGTTGGGTTTTTCCCCTCAAATATTTAAAAGAAAATATATCTGAAACTTTTCAAACACTGGTCAGCAATCCTTGCTCCATTCTTTTTAAATATTTTATTTAGTATTTAGTATTTATTTGATTTGTCAATCGCTTACAAGATACAGGTATAAGAATAAATATAGTTTTGAATACATGAGATAGATACTTATAAGAAAAATAAAAAAACAATAGGACAGGGACCGTAGGCACGATTGATGCGCTTATGCACGCCCACTGCAGGCCTCTTAGGAAGGGGGTGAGGTCAATAGTAGACAGTCTAAGGTTAAAGTTTTTGGGGTGTGGGGAAGAAACCAGAGTCAGGTAGAGTATTCCAAACACTGACCACTCTGTTGCTGAAGTTGTATTTTCTGCACTCAAGTTTGGTGTGATTAACCTTGAGTTTGTATCTATTGTGTGCTTTTGTATTGTTATGATTAAAGCTGAAGTATTCATTTGCAGGTAGGACATTGCAATGTATGATTTTAGATACAATATAAATATGGGATTAATGTCAATTGTATTTCATTCTGGTCAAATACACAATAAGTACCAGTAGTAAAAGTCACAAATTTATAATTTTAATTTGTGAATTATATGGGCCCCAAGTTAGAAATTCGTAATAAGAACAACTGAAAACTTCATTGCAATCACTGTACTAGAATTTCTGATCAACAGGAATGAACAGTACTTTAGGACCAAAATAAGAAATGGATTTCAAACATGCATAGGTACCCACAAAGCACCTATCAGAATATTTTAAAGCAGTTGCTTTATGGTGTTTCTGACAGAGCCTGGATTTACATTCCTACTTGTTTGATTTCTTTGTCTCTAAAGTGCTGCAAATCTTTCTGTGTCTGGATTTGTTTAAGGACAAAACCACTTCCCTTCCCTGGATGACACCCAAAGCCTGTGTAATTCAACAGTCGGTTCCCACCAGTGGTAACAGCCAAAAGCCAGATATGAATAGAATAGCTTTCCTCCCACTTGTTGGCATTGAGAGGAACATTGTATCCTGAAGATACATGTGATAGATATACGTATCTATGATAGATAAGAAAAACAGAGAGTTTTCACTTCCATGTTTCTTAGCAGATTTGCAATCAAAACCTTTTTTTTAAACACAGTGATGTCAATATTTTAATCTGGTGCAAATGTGAGCTCAAATTATATATCAATTTATTTCTGAACAGATTGCTAGAATGTATATATCTCTAAATCTCTCAAAAGGCTTCAAGCAGTATTGCCAGCGTTTAGCTATGTTGTGTACTACATCATCTCTCTATTTGTTCACCTTTATCCCACCCCCTTCTAAATTTCGCTAAAGATGTTACCTACTCTGGTAATGAATTGTTTGAAAACCAACCCACAAGTTCACAGAATGAACCTCCTCCCCTAGAAAAACTGCCAAGAAAGACAAAGACCTCAGGAATTTCAGAAGGCTGCTAAAAAAAAGAGAGTATTTCAATGAAAAATATAAAAATGTGGGAACTAACATATAAACAAAAAAATCTCCAAAATATTTTTGAACTCAATAAACAGTTTCCAACCTCAAATAGTTAAACTAAAAAATTTAACTGACTCCAAGCAGGTGAACCAAAGATAGTATACAGAAATTCTGCATAATAGAGATATCTTAGAAGATATTACCTATTTATAAGAATTTTTAGTACTAGATGATGAAGTCAAATTAGCAGTCTTCATTGCTAGTTTGGAAGGCTACAAGAATTGATGATGTATTTACAGAAATATGCAAGCAACAAAAGAAGAATCAGTAAAGATTCTAACCAAACTATGCCAGCCAATCTGAAGAATGATACAGTGAATAACAGACTGGATAGTTCAGTCTATATACACAAATACCAAAGAAAGCAGACTTGCCTGCAAGCTATCATATGTCCTTAACTTCATATTCTAACAAAATAATGCTTAGGGTGAGGCAATAAAGATTAGATCCCTATGTGATAAAGAGAGAAAACCAAACCATCAAGTTGGTTTGAAAAAAGTCCAGGAACAAGAAACATTATTGCTGGTGCACTCTGGATAATTGAAAAACCCAAATAATACCAAAAACAAATCAATATGTGCTTAATTACATATAAAAAGGCCTCTGATTGTACTCATCATGTCAAACTTTGAAATATGCTTAGAAAAATGAGAATGCCAGAATATTTCATTGTCCTCTTACAAAACCTATACACTAGACAAGAATCCACAGCCTTGACAGAATAGCAATTGCATTTAGACTTATATACTGCTTCACAGTGCTTTACAGCCCTCTCTAAATGGTTTACACAGTCAGCATATTGCCCACAATAATCTGGCTCCTCATTTACTGACCTTGGAAAGATGGAAGGCTGAGTCAATCTTGAAACAGTGAGGAGCGAGCACCTGGCAGTCAGCAGAATTAGTCTGCAATACTGCATTCTAACCACTGCACTACCACGGCACAGATTGGCTTCACGTTGGGAAAAGAGTGAAATAAAGCTGTATTATTTAATCAACCTATATGCTGAATATATATTGAAAAAAGCAGGATTCAAAGATGATTGTGGGTTTAAAATTAGAGGAAGAAACAATAATCTATTTACGCTATGCTAATGACACTATTAGTGATCTGCAGGCTCTAGTAATGGAAGTCACAGAATACAGTGAGAAAATAAGACTAAGATTAAATAAAAAGATTACCCAACTAATGGCAAGAGAGCCAGTCTGATGCTGTGGTTAAGGCACCTGGCTAGAAATGGGAAGGTTCATAAATTCTTTGTTTATGCAAATATCACTAAAACATATTTATGCAAATTTAATTATAATTCCAGCTAGTTAAGCTAAAATATTCCATTAATTCCAAAATGTCAGCAAGCCATAGCTTGAAATACTTTCATATCTAGAGTTAAACTGTGACCTGGTAAGATGATTTATGACTTTAGTCATTATTCATTAATTTTATATTTTATCTTTGTAAAGAAACCAAGTAAAAGCTTCTTCTCTACCATAGATAAAAAGTTGTGGCATACACTTCAATAATAAATGATTTTTTTCAGAAAATCCAGGTGTCCTGAAAAAATTAGGAAACAAGAGTAGTTGAAAAATTAGGAAATAAGAGCAGTTGATATGATTAGTGAATAACATGCTTTCCATCAGTTTCTGTTATTTTTTTTTACCATTTTGATATAGAAGATTTCAACTGATGTAAGTAATTATTTACAAAGACGCAACTCATGAGAAAATCTACCATTGGACATACCTACCAATGAAACCTGAAGAAGGAGGGTTGGGTTGTATTTTCTCTTTAGTATTCTCCTGAATAATATCCCAAAGCTGCCATATAAATTTTGGATGAAGAATATAGAACGGCTGATTTGGATTCTTACTGCGATGCTGTACGTATGGAGTAAACAAGTTGTAGTCTGGATTCTTATACCACTAGCAGGGAAAATTTAAAAAAAAATCTTAGTGTGCTTAGCATACACCAAAAATTATCTAAGCTATCACATTGTCATCTTTGGAAATATGAATGCACCTTGGTATATAGCACAGCAGAAGCAGAATGCTACATCTCTTACTTAAAAATCTATCACTATTTTAATCATTATTAACTACCGGTAGTCCTCACTTAATTACGAGTCACTTAACGACCATTCAAAATAATGCCTGACCTCACCCCCACCCCAGAAGTTACTTATGACCCATCCTCAAAATTATAACAGTTGTACAGCCTCCCTGGGGTTGTCTGATGGCATTTTGGGCACTTGGTTGAATTTAGGAAAGGATGCAGCCTCCCATAGTCATGTGACTGATTTACAATGTTTTTGCCAGCTTTTGCCTTTTTTTTTTTGTTTGCCATCCATTTTCCAGCAAAAAAAAACCCACCTGTCTTTCATTCAGAATGAGTTAATGACCACATGGTAGCTTAGTAGGATAAACAGAAAACGTTCATAGATGTATGCACGTATGAATCAGATTTTCTTTTTTAAAAAAATGGAAATACACAGAATTCCCAAAAGCTAGATATTTAAAAATGGCTAAGTCCAACTATGTACTGACAGCTCTTTGGGTTAGTCATTTTCTTCTCTTTGGATACATTTCAATGAGGTATGAAAAACAACATTGCTTTTCGATATTTTGAACGTTGAATATCTACACAATTCCTATCATAGATTCAGTCTTGGCAAAAGCGCTGAGGCAAAAAACTGTGAAGCTCAATTCTTTTGAATAAAGGAAGTACACAGTGGTGTCAACACAATAAAGTATGACTTACCTTATCCAAATTTGAAGAATAAGGAGCCGGATCCCAAGCCACTAAAACAACATCTTTATACAAGGAGTTATCGACGAAATGATAATTAGGATGAGTAAGAATCTGTTAAATGCAAAGAAACACATATCTACTAAAACATATTCCAAACTTTATTTCCCTTCTATGTTCTTCCCTTCTATTATCTGCCAGTTTAGCTTAAAATTAGCTTTAACCTCCACCCCAATCCTTCTGTTATCAGATTTAAATGCCCCCCTCCCACTTTTGAAAAGAAACTTTAAGTACCCTTGCACACTTGATAATGTAGAACACCAGTGTAGAGAAGGTAAGTGTTTTCTTATCACTTTCAAGGAAGAAAGTAATAAGAGAGAATGGCTCTGCCAAAGAGCATGCTTCTGCCTACATAGAATAAATCAGTTTTTTTTTAAATTTTTCTGTGTAGGTTTCAGTCAGTATTTGTCACTATTAAAATAACGCTAGCTATTGGTGAACCACAACAGCTGGAGATACCTTCGCAACTGTTGCAGCATCCGGCAGTCACATGATTGCTATATGTGTGCTTCACAACCTGCTTCTGACAAGCTGAGTCAAAAAGAAGTGGTAGTCATTGATGCCTCTTTAATGACTGCGGTGATTTGCTTAACTAAAGAAGCAAAAGTGATGCTGTAAGAGCAGCGTGGTCATGTGATGTTTCCTTTAGTGATGTTGTTGCCAATCCCCATTGTGGTTGGTAAGCACTCAAGAGTGGTGAGGTACTGCAGGGATGCTGCAGGCATATAATATTTTCCAAGAAGTATTTAAGAAATAATTATGGCCTGAGGAGTGGGGAATTTATTAGCTGCAAGTCACAGTTAAGAAATATAAAATTCAAAATGTATACAAAAAGAAGTTTGTTTTGAAGTGAATAATGTACCTGCCACAAGAGGGTGCTACAGGCTTTTAAAAAGGAGTATTTGTTCTGTTTGGCCATGAATCTCTAATCACTTGCAGCTCTTAGCTTCATTCCACTCCCTAAAACTTTGCTGGTTTATGTCATCTCTGTTTTATCTAGTTCCCATGAGTTCTTATGGTGTAACAGTCTGAATATTTAATGCCAGTACCGTATGTACTAAAATCTATATCCATTCTATCCAATTTCCACATCCCATGACATTTTTAAATCTCAAAAATGTAGGTTTACTTCTGCACAAAATATCTAATTAATTTAAAATATCTTTCTCCAAACCATTTTTGCATGCATTTTTAAAGATAAGAATTACATATCTGGAAAATTATACAATCCAAAAGATCTGCCCTGATTATTAGCCTACGAACCATAAATTTATCCATTTAAAATGCAGGAAAAAATGAAGTTGTCTACTTAAGATGCAATTTATAAAGAATGAAAGGGATAGACAAATCAACAAAGCCACTGAGTCTGGCTTTCCTGTTTATTTTCCTCTTCTGTCTTTTTATGTGATCCCTAGGATACAAATTATATTTTACCCCCCTATATTATGAAGCTGGAAGTTTATTATTTACAATCCAAGGTAACATAATTTTACACTGAAGCTAATAGATATGCTGGTTTATGATTATCAACTATCTAAGCGCAGCAATCCATTTTTGATTAATAAATATGAGTTTACTCGAACAGTAGAACCTAATAACTTAAATGATACATTTTAAAATTATGTTGTAGACTGGTTAAAAAATTCTGTTGAGCATGTGGATGGAGATAAATACATGTAAAAATTTCAAAATGTATTTATTAAGTTTCATATTGCTTATATCTTCTAGAAAATAATATATATGTATGGATCTTCAACAGATTTACCTGGGAATTAATGATGCGCATTGTAGTTTTATTTCCAACATCTTTTTCATAACCTTTTGTTGGAGCTGAATTGAATCGCAGAACTGCATCATGAGAATCTAGTGTGAAAAAAGTTACATTTATTTGGGTTGTTATACCTGTGCAATCATACAGATGCTTACTCAAAAGTAGATTCCACTGTATTTTAAATGAATATATGCTTGATTATGGAAATTTTTTCTACTATATTCTCATTTTTTTCTTTTAACGACCCTGTAATCCCTTGCATTTAGGATGGAGTTGAGGTGACTGAATACAGCTGAGCATTTACTGGCCAGGTGCCTTTCCTGACACCTATATGGAGCTCACAGCAGGTATGTTCTCTTTGTGACCAGAGAGAGAAATATCTACTGCCACCTAGGATCGAACTCATAGTCACTTGACTGTGAGGCTGCACATCTAGGCCACCACACCACTCATTTTCTATTATATTCTACTATAATATTTCACCCAAAGAACAGTCTAAACCAAGACAAATATTTAAACTTTTAAAATTAGTATGGAAATGTGTGCAGTCCACGTGAATAGAAATGTCATTAAGCTTTTAAAATTAGAACAGAAACATTAATACTCCATGTAAATATGGTTCTATTGTCGTATGTTTTTACAGAGACAATAAATGCAAATACCTAGTTGCAGAACTAGTTACACTTATTTCCTTTTTCACTATTGTTTTAAATAAGGTACTAATGTTTATATACTTTGGATATTTTATGTATTTTGCATATTTATCTTCAAATACATTTTGCTGTATCTTGGATTACTATGCCAACATTTAAATTATGAGAGAGTGTGAATATACCCCGGCAATGTTTATTTCCTCATCAGACACAGTTCAGTTATTCATACAACATTTTGCCATTCTGCTGTGAAACAATTCTATACTGCATTGATAAGCCTTGGAATTCTGTATTGTATGTATTGGCTAGATTGGGTAGTATCTGAAAATTCTGTAGTACTAGGAAAGATTGAAGGAAAGAGAAGATGACATGCAGCAGGAAGCTGGGTTGCCTTGATTGCAACAATAATGGGTGCATCATCAGATCTAAAAGACCATGCTGGGATCAGATTCTCCTTGAGATAAATCAGTGTGATCACCAAGGGTTTTCAATGGCTTGATGACACCTGATCAATGTAATGTAGCTATCAGAAGGGAGACAAGAAGAGAAAGAGTCAAAGTCAGGACAATAGTCAGGTAGTAGGGATAGAACTGATGTTTTTGGTTTCTTGCCTGGATTACTTTGAAGGGCTTATAGTTCCATTGTGAGAAAGAAGGAGTTTTTTTTTTTTTTTTTAAAAAACCCTTTTTGTTCTATCATCATGCTGTATCATTCGTGGCATTTTATAGGAGGTCCAAATGCTAGAATTTTCCTCTTCTATGCCTTTTCTTTCATGTTTTGTCACCTATCATTCATCTTTTCCTCTCCCACAAAAAGTGAGAAAAAAGTAGATTAGTAAAGTAGGGGGCATTTTCTTATAAGTACCAACATAAATATGGTACAAAATTGAATATCAAAACTGTAAGGTTTGAACCTGGCTGTGACAGCAAGATCCCCATGAGATCTGATGTGATATAAAGCAGGATACCTTCAATAAGCAATAAAAATAAAGTGAGCATTAGCAGAAGGAACATATGTACGGGTAGGAAGATAAAATATACATGCACTAAGAAATAAAACATTTGTCTTTTTCCTCTATGCATTCCTTTCTCAGTAAACAAAGGAGAAAAGAAATGAACAGTGGCCTCAATGCAAAAGACAAGAAAGAATTAAAGCTGAGCCAGCAAAGGAATAAAAGGGGTAATAATTTGTGAAGAAAAGAGAAATATGAAAGAAGTGAGTATTGCATGGATTGCCATTAGAAGAATCCGTCTCAAATATTTTGCAGCTTATCTCATTATTTGCTATCACAAATGTGCTTTAAACATCTGAAACACAGCAGATAAAATTATATGTACTACTATTATTATTATTGCTGTCATCATCAGCTTGGAGGTATATAAATGAAACTCTCCAGAGCAGGTAATAAGGAGTGAAACATTAGGTCTGGAATGACAGAACACTATTTTAAGAGGTGTGTGTGTGTGTGGGGGGGGCAGTCAAGTGGACTATGGGGTGGTGATGGAAGGAAAAGAATAATGACAATGTCACTTTCTATAAAAGAAGGAACGTTAGGACCAGAGGTGGTTCAGCAGGTTCTGACCAGTTCTGGAGAACTGGTAGCAGAAATTTTGAGTAGTTCGGAGAACCGGAAAATACCACCTCTGACTGGAGATTTTACAGAATCCTTCCCCTGCCACACCCACCAAGCCACACCCACAGAACCGGAATTAAAAAAGTTAATCCCACCATTGGTTAGGACTCTACCAAAACAGAAGAAGAGAACAGAATAATATGTGTTTCCATGAATTAGATATGATAGTGTGAGTTTCATAACTAAAGTTTGTTTGCAAAATTATCGTTGCTTCATATATACACATACACTGCTCAAAAAAATAAAGGGAACACAAAAATAAGACATCCTAGATCTGAATGAATGAAATATTCTTATTAAATACTTTGTTCATTACATAGTTGAATGTGCTGACAACAAAATCACACAAAAATTATCAATGGAAATCAAATTTAGCAACCCATGGAGGTCTGGATTTGGAGTTACACTCAAAATTAAAGTGAAAAAAAAAAAAAAAAACACTACAGGCTGATCCAACTTTGATGTAATGTCCTTAAAACAAGTCAAAATGAGGCTCAGTAGTGTGTGTGGCCTCCACGTTCCTGTATGACCTCCCTACAATGCCTGGGCATGCTCCTGATGAGGTACTGGATGGTCTCCTAAAGGATCTCCTCCCACACCTGGACTAAAGCACCCCCCAACTCCTGGACAGTCTGTGGTGCAATGTGGCGTTGGTGGATGGAGCGAGGCATGATGTTCCAGATGTGCTCAATTGGATTCAGGTCTGGGGAACGGGCGGGCCAGTCCATAGCATCAATGCCTTAGTCTTGCAGGAACTGCTGACACACTCCAGCCATATCAGGTCTAGCATTGTCGTGCATTAGGAGGAACCCAGGGCCAACCGCACCAGCATATGGTCTCACAAAGGGTCTGAGGATCTCATTTCAGTACCTAATGGCAGTCAGGCTACCTCTGGCAAGCACATAGAGGGCTGTGCGGCCCCCTAAAGAAATGCCACCCCACACCATTACTGACCCACTGTCAAACCGGTCATGCTGGAGAATGTTGCAGGCAGCAGAACGCTCTCCATGGTGTCTCCAGATCCTGTCACGTCTGTCACATGTGCTCAGTGTGAACCTGCTTTCATCTGTGAAGAGCACAGGGAGCCAGTGGTGAATTTGCCAATCTTGGTAATCTCTGGCAAATGCCAAACGTCCTGCACGGTGTTGGGCTGTAAACACAACCCCCACCTGTGGACGTCGGGTCCTCATACCACCCTCATGGAGTCTGTTTCTGACCGTTTGAGCAGCCACATGCACATTTGTGGCCTGCTGGAGGTCATTTTGCAGGGCTCTGGCAGTGCTCCTCCTGTCCCTCCTTGCACAAAGGCGGAGGTGGCGGTCCTGATGCTGGGTTGTTGCCCTCCTACAGCCTCCTCCACGTCTCCTGATGTACTGGCCTGTCTCCTGGTAGCGTCTCCATGCTCTGGACACTACGCTGACAGACACAGCAAACCTTCTTGCCACAGCTCGTATTGATGTGCCATCCTGGATGAGTTGCACTAGCTGAGCCGCTTGTGTGGGTTGTAGACTCTGTCTCATGCTACCACTAGAGTGAAAGCACCGCCAGCATTCAAAAGTGACCAAACCATCAGCCAGAAAGCATAGGAACTGAGAAGTGGTCTGTGGTCACCACCTGCAGAACCACTCCTTTATTGGGGATGTCTTGCTAACTGCCTATGCTTTCCACCTGTTGTCTATTCCATTTGCACAACAGCATGTGAAATTGATTGTCAATCAGTGTTGCTACCCAAGTGGACAGTTTGATTTCACAGAAGTGTGATTGACTTGGAGTTACATTGTGTTGTTTAAGTATTCCCTTTATTTTTTTGAGCAGTGTATTTAGCTCATGATAAGTGCAACAGGAAAATCTGAGAGAGAGGGAGCTTTGTGTAGCCACAGATCCCATAAGAAGCCAAACAGGCATAGTAAAATAACTACGGAAATAGAACACATGTATTCCACAGTGAATACATGCAATTGTAATAACAGGGAAATAACCACATCAAGATATATGCTTCCAATCATATTTATTTTAGATTAAGACTAAGTGTTATCCATACTATTCCTATTTCTCAGATATTACTATGGTTAAGCCTTTATTAGAAATATATTTACTAGAGCTAGTCCTCGATTTTCCATCATTCATTTAGTGACAGTTCAAATTTATGATGGCACTGAAAAAAGTGACTTACAACTCAAGTTGATCACCATTGCAGAATCCCCAGTCATGTGATCAAAATTCGAATGTTGGTAACAGGCATGTATGAGCCAGATTCACGTAACGACTACATGATTCACTTAACAACCACAGTGATTTGCTTGTAGCAAAAAAGGTTTCAAAATTGGGTACAACTCACTTAATAAACTTTAGCAATGAAAATTCTGTTCTCAATTGTAGTCGTAAGCTGAGAACTGCAGTATCTGTAATTTTACTAAATTAATAGGAAAGAAATTGCTATTGAAGTTGTGTCGGAATGTTCTGTTTTCATACTAAATGATCTCTTCTGTAGTTTGCAGCCTCTCTGATCCCCATGTTTCAAAAACATCTCAGAGAAAGGCATTATGAGGCAACTCCCTGCATGGGGATTCCTCAGATCAAGTAGGGCGGGGACCCAGAGTGATAAGAGAGATACAGGATGATATGCAGTACCTTCCACTGCTTCACAAAAATGGACAAACCTCATAAGCATAAATAAATAATAAATTATTGTGCATCTGAGAGTAAGATACCAAATAGAAGGGTTCCCCCCGCCCCCAAGGAAGAAAACTTTCAGGAAATAGGAAGAATTTTTTTCAGCCAAATATTATTCAAGACAGTCTCTTCCATATGCAAGCTGGTATCTTTATATATATATATGGTATTCAGCTTTGTTCGGGTATTTTCCCACGTCATTGTAGTTGTGCTTTTAAAGTTGTAGCAACGTTTCGGCAGAATCTTATCTGCCATCATCAGGCTTCTGTATTGTTTTCGTCTGTGAGTCAGACTATCACAGCCGTTTCAGTTGTGATAGTCTGACTCACAGACGAACACAATACAGAAGCCTGATGATGGCAGATGAGATTCTGCCGAAACGTTGCTACAACTTTAAAAGCACAACTACAATGACGTGGGAAAATACCCGAACAAAGCTGAATACCATACATGTAAGTACCCGCGAAAACTTAAGAAAACAAATATATATGTGTATGTATGTATGTATGTATGTGTGTGTGTGTGTGTGTGTGTGTGTATATATATACACACACACATATATACACACACACACACACACACTTAATGAATATTTCAAAGAGAGGGAAATGTGTATCACCCCAGAGTCAAGAGAAACATTTTCAATAAAGGGTGAGTCACAATATAGTGAGCATACTGAATAGAAAGAAAGATTCCAGGAAGGTTATGCTTGATACAAAACTGTTAATTCTGTTTAAATGACAAAGGTTAGTGGAAAAGTAGTACATATATTTATAAAATAAAATCTATTAACTTGAATTGTTTTATTTTGTCCTACTGTGAGAGAAGGGGAAAATGGTTAAGCTATTTTACAACAGAAGTTTTCAAACCAGTTAGGACTTCGACTTTCAGTGTTAGGCTAGCATAGCTCTTATGCTGAGCAGAGATGCCTATTGAAGTAACTGGATAACAATAGCACTTTCAATGCTCACAAACATTTTAGTTTTTGAGAAAAGAATAATAAGTAATAAGATAAAAAAGGATAGTTATCAAAAAATAATAAAAACATATTTAAGTAAATAGAACAACTTAGTATTTGTGAGAGTTAATAACAGAGAAATAACCTAGAAATAAGGGGAAATTTTCTGACAGTGATACCAATCAACCAATTCTTGCCTTCGGAAGTTGTGGGAGTGTCATCACTGGAGGCTTTCAGGAAGAGATTGGACTGCCATTTGTCAGAAATGGTGTAGGGTCTCCTGCTTGGGCGGGGGTTTGGCCTAGATGACCCACAAGGTCCCTTCCAACTCTTTTAATCTGATATAATCTTCTCTCTCTCTGTCTTAAAGAACATGTAGTGAGGGATGAATGGAAAACTGTCTGTACCACATGGTTTAGAGAAATTCAAATTTTGCATACTTCTTAGTGGATTCAGACATGGACTTGCATTATCCTCAAAGAAAAGTGTTTATATTTTAGTTCTTCATAATTTATTTTGCACTTGTAAAGAGTATTTTTCATGTTTGAAGTACAGGATAAAGTGTCTTATTGAGGTTACACATGAAATGTTGCTTAAGAGTTTTGTCTTGTAGATGTCAAGAGAAAACATCTTTCTGTGGCCACATGAGTTTATTAGTCAGGAGGAATTCATTACTTTTTCATCTCTCTACTTCTGATGTTAGCTAATTAACATTTTTTCAACACTTAGTTTTCTACAAAAAAATAAGATACAATTCAGTAAAAATAAATCCAACCAAACCCAGTGATTTTGAAAATTGGAGACGAGTACCAAAATGGAGGGGAAGGGAGGCAGTTTTTGTTACTTTAGATGTTTATCATTACTGTACGATATGATACAAAGATTATTAAATTATATTTAGAAAAAACTGTGCGGGAGAGGAAAATTAAAGAAAAGGGCGAAGCAAGTGATTCTGCCTATTACAGGCTTTAATTTAAGCACCCCAATTCTTGGATTCCTTATTGGGAGAACCAAAGGTAGAGTGTCTCAAAGGTGTTTTTTTTTTTCTTGAAAAGGTAACTGAACTGTTTTTTTCCTTGAGAAAGAAGAAGAAAACATTTTGCTTCTCATCTAAGAAGCTTAATCAGTTCCGATGGCAGGGATGAAGCTTCTTGGATGAGAAGTGAAACATTTTCTTCTACCTCCTCAAGGAAAAAACGGTTCAGTTGCCTCTTGAAGAAAAATGCACCTTTGAAACAACTATGACCTGGATGACTGAGAATCTCTACAGACAAAAGTAGAGTGCCATCCTAAAAATTAAGTTCCAGAAAGTGTTGGCTCATGCTAGATTTTTTTGCACTGGAAAATTCAACAATGTGGAAATCTAACTTCACTAAAGCAAACAGTTCAAATTTATGTTCATAGGAATTTATAAATTAATTAAAAAATACTACACGTTTATATTACTATCAAATGTTCTTAAGACTATAAGAACAGCACTGCTGTTCTTCATCACCTTGGATTGCTTTAAAATTTATAATTATGAACAACAGGTCAATTGGTGCCTATTGATCTGGAGAACTATAAGGCTGTCCAATGATTTATCAATAGCAAAAAAGAGAGCATGCCATCATCTATCTTTCCAAGGAGAGAGGTCTGGAGGGCCATTCTGTAAAATAGGATACTAGACTATAAGGTCATAATCTGTTCATAACACTGCTACTTATAAGAGTTAAAAATGCTGAAAAAAATTCAAATTTCTTTTAATAACCTTTGAATGCATTATTCCCTGACCAATACATTAACCAAGCAAAACATGTTGAATCATCTTTTGGAATATATTATATTGTGAATTGTTAAAACAAGAACATGGAGACTATAAGATGAAGTCAAAAGACCAACTGACTGAGAAACTTTTCAATGGTTCTCATTTGTATAGTTGACAGAAAGATAACAGTTTAAAGTATAGTTTAAAGAAGATAACAGGACATTTGGAATTGAAGAACATAAGGCAGAATTTGAAACTGAATTATGTGATAATGTAATTACTAAAACATATAAGTTTTTATTTACATTTGAGACAGAAAAAAAGCGAAAGAGAATACGAGAAAATGGCTAAAATCTGTGGTTATTTTATACTAAAGAATAAATGGAAAATGAAAGGACTGAAATTTACATTACAATTTAAAAGAGAACTTTTATAACTTTCTTTTTTAAGTATATTATATGGAGAGAAATGACTATTTTGTTCATGACTCAAATTCATGTACTGACATTTAATGATAACAGAATAGCTAACAAATTGCTGTATTAACACTAATCACAATGGATATATTATATTTACTGATACTTTTATTGTAATTTCATATAGAGGGTTAAAAACTATTTAACCTTAATGTCCTTTCATACTTTCAAATGATTCACTTGTCTAGGAACACCACTGCCTGGGGTCTCCAGATGTTGCTGTTCTTTAATATCTGACAGCTCCAAATCAACCAATGGTAAAGAATGCTGATAGTTACCATTCAACATCTGGTGTGAAGGAAGGTTAAATGTATGATTTAGCCTTTACATAAAATCTGTTATAGTTAATTCATTGTTTAACTTTTCTGCATCCATATAGTAATGGAATTTTGCCCTAATTGACATTGCAGTGCCGCTTGTGATTAAATATATGATGTATCCAAAGCTGAGTCTCACTGACTCCTATACTAGTTTACTGAAATGTTACAGCTGTTTATAATGTAATGGAATTTTGCCTGTGTATAAATCTCTCCAATCTTAATGAAGTTTTAAATGTGGTATTTCTATTTAAATTGAATCATTATTTGATAAGGAAAAAAGAAAACTAAAATAAATGAGAACTCTTGTTTCATACTTTTATATAATCAAAAATATTATAAACTGAGTACTTAACTTTGCTTGATAACATTTCCACTTGAAATACATAAATCTGTAAAGACCAGTATGTTTATCTTATTTCTAACCACTTAGCAAAATATGCTCCAAATTGCATTTGTCCTAATATAAATATTTTGTAAACCTTAACCCTTAATATATTTGTTGAATATAGATTTTTAAATTTGTGTTATATATATTTAAAAATTTAGAAAAATGCAATATACATTGTTTCTATACTGATTCAGGTCATATCAGTAATATGGATTGATATTAAAAACAAAATGTACTAATTTCTTCTCCAAACACATTGTTCCAAAGGTGCTTTTCAACTGGACTTTCTTTGTTTTTTCCTTAAAGATGTTTTGCTTCTCATCCAAGAAGTTTCTTCAGTTCAGAACTGAAGAACCTTCTTGGATGAGAAGCAAAATGTCATCAAGGAACAAACCAAGTCCAGTTGCATTTTGAAAAGTACCTTTAGAATAACCATGACCTGGATGACTGAGAATCTCCACAAACCTCCAAATACATTGGTTCACAAAAGTGGGTGTTTTTTTGGGGGGGGGGGGGGGGGAGGAATTGATAGAAAAGATCATATAAAAAGGAGAAACTAAGTGTTGAAAGAAAAAAGAAACCTCTTCTCATAATACTTATAATTTGTTGCCTTCACATGGAGGCAATGCATATTACTACTCAATTCAGAGGAAGTATGCCTTTGCTATGGTATCATTTCTGGAGAACAGCAATATGGGAAGATTGCTACGAAATGCTGTTCTGTTTAATTCCAGAAAAAGAATACGGTTGCCTCTATGCAAAACAGGATGCCTTCTTACAAGCTTTGGTCTAACCCACTGCTTCTTTTACCTTACCTTATAAGGTCAAAGAGTATAGAAATAGCCCACATGTGGTTATTTGGATTCTAGCTACATATCAGCATTCAAATAAGTTAAATACCCACCTATTTCATGCCCCAGAGAAGAGTTCAGTATGGCACCAGCAGACATAACGACAGCACAGCTTCCAAATCCACGAGGATATAATTTGTTCAGTGAAGTTTGAGGGACATGTTTTTTCCAACCAAGGACTGAAAAGGGAGCTTCCTCACCATCAATGGTTCTGATGTTTACACGCGCTTTGAGCTCGCAGAAGAGCTGTTCTGAAGTCAGTTGGGAGTTTTGCTTCCCTCTGAACTTCACCCCATGCTTATTGGCATTCAAGTAATCTTTCATTGCTTTCTGAAGGCGAGGATTCAGCATGTTGGAGGAGACATCCCCCCTCCAAAGCCTGAACAGGAATGATTTTGACATTGTGGAATACATTTCATTCCATTCATGGGACCCTTCAACCAGTTCTGTTCCTCTGTGATTTATGTGCCTTTTCTTTATCTTCTTTTGAGGGAACCAAGCGTTCTGCAAAATATTCCTCTTCTGAATCTCCCCCTGTGCAGAGTTTAATTTCACTATTCGCTGAACATTATTTGATAACTGAGGCTGACCAGCAGCAAATAAATAATCACTGTCCCTCTGATGAAAATTGCTTTTGGATTTCCTTCTTAACTGAGAAGGAAAAAATTCTTCACTTTCAAAACTATTATCTAAGCCAGTCCACTTTTTAATATTCCCAGTCTCTGACTTAAATGAATCTAAGACGTCTCTGTTGAAGAGCATCTCATTGACTGCTTCGGAGAAGGGTGGGTCATGAATTGCTCCCATGATAACCCTGTGTTTGCCTTGAATAGGTAGGAGTCTTTTAGTCTCAACATATGAGAAGGAACTCGGAGCTGCATCAGTGGTGTTGCTATCTGTGAAATATATGAAGATAAATAGGAACAGGAGGCCCCAGGCAAATATTCCAAACAGCATAACTTGTTTCCATTGTTTCAGGTTGGGTTTCATGGCAATGTTTGTGACAATGCCTCTGTGCCTTAAGGGTTTTATGAAAAGAAGAAATAAGACCTGGAAAAAATATATAGTTATTAATGAAACTCTTGAAATATTCACAGGTTAGCAAAGAAGCAATCTATTTTTCAGAAAAATAAGAATTCTAAATGTGATGATTCTGAACAACTTATACTAATACCATGCTACTCTTATTGTAAGATAGACTGCTTTATACTAACTGTTCGGTCACATAATTTGTAATATAACCATCATTCCCCAGTAAAATGTAATTTTATGCCATAAAATTTGTATGTAATAAAATGAGGGTGGGATCTTTATTTCTTGGATTTTTAATGTTGTAAGGCTCTGAGAGTCATGAGGTGTGAGTCAGCCAGCCACATAAATTTGTTTAATCATTAAATAATTATTAAATTATGCTACAGGTTAGAGTGAACCTTTTGACATCTGTCAATTTGTCCAGATAGAAAATTACTACCTTTTTTTTTACTGAGGACTATTTTGTTTAATCCAATTCTCAAAAACATAAAGGATCCTCTCATACAAGGAATGACAGAGAACTTTAAAACGCCTTGTGCTAATTCTGAAACACATTCAACACCTACATAATCAGACAGTATTGCATTCAGGAGGATTTTAATTAACAATTATTTTGTAAAACCAATCAGGATAATCTATAGTTATAAAATATATTTAGTGGGGAAAGGGAAATAAAAATGTAAATATAGGAACACACACACACACACACACACACACACAAGGGTGGGATTCAAAAATTTTAACAACAGGTGCTATGGGTGTGGCTTAGTTGGTGGGCGTGGCTTGATGGTTATGTGACTGGGTGGACGTGGCTTCACATCAAGGCATGCATCTCCTCGCCTGGCCTCTCATGACTGTGGCGATGCTGCAACAGTCATAAGTGTGAACAATGGTCATAAGTCACTTTTTTCAGTGCCATTGTAACTTTAAATGGTCACTCCACACAAGCAAAGTACCAGCAAAGGAGGGGAAAAAAAACTCCAGAGAAGTTCCAGAGACAGGAAGTCTAGTCCTGCCAAGAATGTAATAAGGATTAACGGAGAGGCAGTTTCTGTAAGCAACACCAGACTGTTTCCTTCCTGCCTTCCTTACAGGATTAGGCCAGTAATTTCTTCTAACAACCGGTTCTTTGAACTGCTTAGAATGTTAACAACCAGTTCTAGTGAATAGGTGTAAACTGGTAGAATCCCACCCCTGCATATATATGTATATATTTCCAAAAATATAAAAATGGTCAAATCTAGTTAAACTAGATATTATTTCCTTTAATACAATTTGGGGGCAGGGCTTGGTACATATTCACTGCAGAAAGAATGGTTGGAGTAAGATTATATGGGCATTGGTTTGGATGCTCATTAATTTCTCTTGAATGTCTATCCTATTTTATACAGTACATTGGATGAGAGTTAAATAAAGTGAAAGCCAATTTCTCAGGGGACCTTGGTGCTTTACTGAATTGAAGACAATGCTCTGTGTATGATGCCCTGAATCTAGCCAACAGCCAGAAGTTATCTAGTAGACTAAATCTATTACCCTAAAGACCTCTGCTGGAATTGTACAGGAATGGTCTTGTGTCATCAATTCTTGTTTTGTTATCAATGGGGGATGTCCTTTAGGGAAAGCTGAATTTCATCTATTCACCATTGGGTGATTTTAGGGGACACTGCTGTGCCATAACTAAACCATTGCCAATAAACTAGTGCAAAGACACACAGCTTCTAGTAAAATAAAATTGTTTTACTCAAAAGTAAAAAAGACATGTAATACAATTTATGCATATTTACTATGTAATGGATTTTGTATAATTGATTGAGACTTTATTTCAGGTGCTAAAGATCTGGAACAAACTAAAACATGCTAATGGGAATTTAATGTACTGATATACTGTATCATGAGAGGATTATCAATGCAATTTAATACATTAGCTCAAATTTTGTACAGATTCAAGACAAGTATAGACCTGACATGTAATATTTAAACATTTGCTGGGCACTTAAGTTTTCTACATAATCATATGCTGTTATCTTTATTCCTTCTACATACCTATTTTTGAAATGTGAGAATAAGATGGCTTTTTTATCTTACAACAACACTGAAAAGTTGTGAAGCAATCTTATTGAACAATTAAAAGCTCTATATAAATAGTACAATTAATGATATTACTTGCACTTAAATTGCAATATAGCAAAGTCACATGACAGTTAAGAGTCACAGAACTGATCATACAGGTCAGTATTTACAAAGAGCATTCTCTGTTGAAAAATGCCCTGAAGAAGTCTTATTTTTCCTTTGATCATTTACAAATAGCTGAGTGTAGCCTCTGTGCTAACTCTTATTATTTGTAACAAAAGGCACTTGAAGGTTTTTAAACTAGATTTTCTTCTATTTATTATGGGAGAAATGGACAAAGCATCTCTATTTCTTTCAAGCAATTTCTTTTATTCATTATTATTACTTAGAGTTCCTTTTTTAAAAAAAAGACAAGCCTTATGAAGCTAGGAAAATCAGAGTTCAAGTTTAGGCACTGTTAAATAAAAGACAGATAGATACCCCTCCATCACCACCTTTTAATTAGAAGTTTGTTTCCAGATTAGCAAGGATTTTGAATTATTATAAGCAGACATTCCAAAAGCAAATTTCTTTTGAAGTTTAAACAACTTAAGTAGAGAAAAATATTTTACAGTTAGTATTAGCTGAACAAAGTAATTAAAAAAAATCTATTTAGCACAAAGTGAATTATAACTTGTCTTCAGAACCTGGAGATGTACATGCTCTGTAGCCCAGCATACAATTACCGTATTTATCGGCGTATAACACACACTTTTTTCCCCCTGAAAATAGGGGGCAAATGATGTATGCGTGTTATACGCCGATATAATGTTAAGAAGCCTTCGGTGAATGCTGCTGGGATCGGGGATCAAGGACACAAATGAAAGAAGGGGAGGGAGGAAGCAACCGAAGCCTGTCCTTCTCTCTGGGTCAGCTCTCTCAGTCGCTCTCTCGCTCCTCCACCAGCACAGGAAGAAACTGCTTCAAAGAAGGGGGGGGGGCTTTTCCTGTCACCTCTCCCCCACCCCCACCCCGTCCGCCCGCCCGCCCGCCCGCAGTGCTCCGTTCTGCCTGCCTGCCTGCCTTCGTTAATGGTTGAATCGGAACAGCTTCGGCTGAGTAAAAGAGGCGAATAGTTATTATTCTCAGCCGAAGCTGCTCCCAAACAACCAGAAACTAAGGCAGGCAGGCAGAATTTTTTTAAATTTTTTTTCCTGAAATTTCCCCCTTAAAATGAAGATGCGTGTTATACGCCAGTGCGTGTTATACGCCGATAAATACGGTATTACTAGTAATGTAGCTGCATTGAACAAGGCTGACATTTTTGCCTGTGTCCTGAATTGATGGGCCATCAATATACCAACACCAACATTAACCTGTCTACAGGTGGCTCAATGTCCTGTCAGATATCTTAATAGTTATATCCTGGTCTGACTTGGCCAGCCTAGATCCTCCAATCACTGGGAAGAGGGAAAGTTGGGTTTCAGGACAGAATAGGAAGCTTCCATGCATATACCTAGACAAGCAAATACAATATACTACTTAACCTCAGTAATTTTGCTTACATATAAAAGAAATGACAAGTATGTCAATTATAAATGATGCCTGTATTCCGATGTCACTTTAAGGTAAGATTGGTTTATTGCAAGGGTCTTCAAACTTGGCAAGTTTGAGATTTGTGGACTTCAACACCCAGAATTCCTGAGCTAACATGACTGGAGAGAAATTCTGGGAGTTGAAGTCCACCAAGAAAACACAAAATGCTAGATAATCAATAGCAAAACATTGCTTCTAGAATATTGGTGCAAAAAATTGCACAGGTTATAAACCTCTTATTCTGATGAATTCAATTAAAAAATCAACAGTGAGAAAAGCCACCCAGTTAAGTTTCAAATGACTGCTACTTGAAGCAGTTTAAGAATATTATACTGGTAGCAAAAACTGAGAAAACAGTAGGAAAAGGAAACAGAGAACTTCACAAATTCAATCATTTTTTTCAAAAATATAACCAGGAAAATATAGAATTTCATAGAAGAAAATATTATCAGGAACAAAATGAAGCACATCATTCACACGATATTTACCTTTACCTGTCAAGATTTTCCTATAGACCAAAAATATTCATTGAGTCACAAGAAACTGCTGAGTTTTTATGGACAAAAAACATATATCTCAATCAGTCCAAGAGAGTAACTGATAGCCATACTCATGTCACCTTGGCCTCTCAAACTGGTCAAGAGTCTTTCATTATTTTAATGCATCAAATAAGCCATCGGGCTGATTTCCAAAGAACAGTGATCAGGGAATTGAAAAAAATCTTATAGCTCACTGATTTTTCACTATTTGGTGCCTCACAAGGAACATTGCCTCCTTATTATAGTGATTTTAACCATTTAAACTGATGTAATTTCCCCACTAAAGAAGCTTATTTAAAAAAAAACAATATTAGAATGTTTGAACACAATAAAAGTATACAAAAGTGAAGGAAAAATAAGAAAAACATGAGAGAAAATAAAAAAGAAACAGACCGACGACTGACTGACAGACAGAAAGAACAGAATTATAATTCCCGCCCTTTTTTCTATCAAGTAGTAGCCATCTTATTCTTTTCGTCCCTTCTTTAATCCTTTTTAATCTCTAAATTGTAAAAAGCCTATTGGAGATAGGAAGATTAGAAGCCATCAACCCATACCATGTAAAGACAGCTGTGCTCAACCTAACAAATATTTTGTCTGCAAAATACAACCTCAGAAATTTAAGAGATAAAGAATAATGTTACGGTACAAATAGTACTTGATTTATGACCATGAATTTAACAACTGTTTGAAAATATGTTAGTGCTGAACAAAGAGATTTATCATTGGTTCCCAAGGTTGTGGCCATTGCAGCACCCCCGTTGTCACATGATC